ATTAAACAAAAGGAGGTCATGAAAACACATGCGCTCCCCAGAACTCCAACCAAAAGGATGGAGAAAAAGGCCTCTGTAGAAAGACAAGGTAAGAAGGGAGAGGATAGATTTTTCTGGTATCCTTCTCTCTGTCCTTCCTGATGTTCCCTCCAACTGAAAACTACCTTAACATATTGCCTAAATTAGCAAAAGTGGTAAAAAAGACAGGCTGATGACATCTTGTGAACTACAATTCACTTGGTAAGAGAGCTGTTAGCAAGCTCACAGCTTGTCACAGAGAAGGATAAGATGTTCTTGAAGGCAAAGACAAAATCTATATTCTTTTCAACAATATCTGTCTAGGTTCAAGAGAGCAATTTTTTGGAAAAGTATCTTAAATGAATGAGATTGTATAGATTGGGGGTATTTTAGGGGATAGAATAAAAGAGAAAAATGAAAGACACTTTGCTTCAACAAGGCTTTAAATCCGAAACTTAGGCCATAGCAAAATCCTTTCTCAGAAACGTATCAAATTCTTTGTATGTTTTTAATCTACACTGTTTAAGTTTTTTACATACTATATTCTGATGTATTAGAAACTGGTCAGAAATAATATATTAGAACATATTTGCTCTGTCTAACCTAGCACGTATACTGCTGTACAGTAAAACCCACATAGGTTACATGTGCCCTACAGCGATTGTATCATTCCATGCAAGCAATCCTGACTGTGAAGCCCATTTCTGATAATTAATACCAACCCCACCAACCTGTGGAGTTCCAGAGGGAATAATTTTTACAAACTCATTCACTGGTGTTGCTCTTGTAGTATGTGTTTTAACTTTCCAAGCAGAGATACATCCACGATGAGTATTTCTAGGTTGGGTCTGTATCTTTTTTGTCTGATGAACTTTGGGATACAAACCTAAGGACAGCAGGATACAATTTCAAGGGATAAATACGGATACAACAATCTTTGTTCCACTTCTCTCCACTCTCCCCTTCTCCAAAGCCAGTGGTTTTAACTGAAGCCCGACCCTCCTCCTCTTCCTGGTAATTTGCAATGTTTGCCCCACAGGGAGGGATGCAGAGAGCATCCCAGCCTCATTCCCAAACTGTTGGTTACAATTTGTGATCATTTTCAGTCATAGACATGCAATAGACACTACCAGTCAAAAATAAGCATCAGTTTGAGCAACAAAAAGTGGAATAGTACTACACCTACAGAAGTAACTAGGAACCAACCCCTGCTGATTTTGAGGGCCCTTCCCTGACTTGCGCAGCATTACTACTGGAAGATGAGCAGGAGCAGGTCTCACCTGCTGTCTCACCTCCTGCTCCGTGAGACTGTGCATCGCTAGTGGAAAAACAGTTTGAAAACAAAGACTGCATAAAGCTGGAGCTGACTTAGACATTTTATGAAGACAAAAGAGACCAATCTGTACAATCTCCAGGCTAGGAAGTCATCAGGTTTTGCCATAGCTGAAATGCTTTCGTGAAGCAGCACCAAGGAAGCTCTCTCTGGAGAAAACACATTCCCCAGCAAACAGTCTAGATAGGCTTTTCTTCATTAACCAGTAAAAGGAAGATCTTTCTGTAGCATGCAGAAGGCACTGAGCCTCATCTGACACTGAAGTTTAACTCAAATTTTTCTGTGATTAAGGAAACTTTTGTTCTGTTTCTTCACCATCTGTGATACAAAATCTGGCAAAGACTCCAATTAGTTTCCTTTGTGTTATTACTGCCACCAGAACTCGTATGATAAACATTAATACAAAAAGAAATTCCACTTCCCCTTTTTGCTGTCTCCAAAGAACAGATCTAAATACTTAATTAAGAACACCAGTACTGAACTCACCCTGAAATCCCTTAATGCCAGATTAAACTAACCTCACTACAGGAAAAGGCAATGGCAGATTAAGTTAATAGAACACCTCTCCTTACAAAATCTTCTCTCCAGTAATGAGCCTGAGAGGAAACTCAGCCTGAGAGGAAACAAAGCAGAAGCACCTCACTCCAAGTAAGACAAAATCCCGCAACACCTGCTTAAGGAATGTCAGTGATGGATTTGGAGAGTTTTTTCTTCTGGGACATACAAACCCTCATTACACTCCTGGATGCACTAACTCTCAGAGTAGGTGGCTGTGCTTCACCTTGGTCCAGCAGGACAGAGGCATCATCTGGCAAAACAAACTTACAGAACTCTGAAGTGCAAGTTAGCACTTAGTGGTGTATATTTATTTACTTAAACTCTTCTATACATATGCACTTGATTACTGTTGCTGTCCTGATGGAATCCATGTACAGCTGTAGTTAAGATGCTAAATTTGATTATCCTGGTAAAGTTTATCTTAGTACCTTAAACATAACCCTTATACAGAGTTTCCACACTGGTACAAGCACACCAACATGAGGGCAACATAGTAATTTCTATAAAAACACATGCACAGATCAAGTAGCAACATTTTATCTAGCATAGGCAATCTCTGCAAAATCAGAGAAGTTTGTGTTTCTGTCCCAACAGGTATTATGCATGACAACCTTCGCTTTGGCATTTATTCAGTAATTTGCCAACAGCTCCAATGTCAACAAGTTCCCAAATGTTTTTTGTGGATTTCTGAGGGGGGTAGTCCTGCCTGCCACTGGGCTTGTTAGATCCAAATAGAATACAAGGAAAGAAGAAACTTGACACATGAAGGATACATGGGGACAGATAAACAGGTAAGGGTCAGATAAGCAAGGGGAGATCACAAACTTTCACCAAATCTCAGGAGCATGAACTAACCCTCATACCCATTTTTAAACACACTGTGCCCATAGTACAGCTTTTCTTCCTGCAGCTGCTGCCAGGCATCTCTCAAGACCATGCCCAATTTCTTTTGTGACTAAGAAAAATTAATTGCACATTTTGCTGGAGCAGGATAGCATTTCAACACCAGCACCTTATACTGAGGCCTGTGCTACACAGATGTTGATGGGGTTTTTCACTTTTTATTTCCAGTTGCTTGCAAGCTAGAACTTTGTACACTTCTTTGAGAAACAGCACAGGATTTAAAGAAGTAGTTTATTAATCAAACAGCAGTTTCCTTTATTGGACAAGACAGTATGCCTTCCTGCTGAGACCTCCTGTATAACATCATTCTGTGGTAGCACAAATGTCCAAACCATTTTGCTATAGAAACTCTAAAAGCACACTTAAAAACCTCTACATCCACAAGGGTTACGAAAATAACTCAAAATGCGTTCTTTGATCCTTTTCCCCTACCACTTACATCTGGCTGAAAACTTTACAAGCAAGAGCTTTTCCTGTTTCCAGTTTCAAAAATTCAGTCTTTTATAATTATACTGGAATTTCTACTAACGACAGGCACAGTTTTATATGGTTTTTGTTCTCTGTGCTGACCTCCTTCAGGGAGCTAAACTTGCAGGAAACTAAACTTGTCAAAAAAAGTAGCATTTTTTTTGCTGGTTTAGCTCCCAGAACCAATTCACACAGGGGCAGATAAGCAACAGGGAGGATGATCTGGTAATCAGCTATCCACTCATCTTCAAAAACATGAAGCTGCATCCTGAGCTACTCTGTCAAGTAGTTTGTCTTACAGGATGACCCCACTCGAACATTGGGATGGATGTCTTCTACTTAAAGGAAGGATTAGGCTCTCTAACTCCAATCACATTAATAATGGTTCCAAAACAGACATCATGGAAATAGCCCATCTCTGTTTACAGTCAGTGACAGATGCCTTCTGGAATCAAACCAAGAATTTTCACTACTTTTCTCTGTTATTTAATTCATTCTATAAATGATCCCAAAGTTTGGGTTATTGGTCTAAAACCTGACTCTCTGACTCTTGTTCAGAGGCTAGCACTGCAATTTCTTTTCTACATCTGTGCATGTCTAAACTTTCCAAAAATAACTTTTAATGATTAGGAAAAGCAAATGTTTACTATTAAGAATTAAATTTAGTATTTGCTATGTGTTTCATTACACAAATTAAAATCATAAGCAAACAATATAGTGAATACTGATCCCTCCCCTTCTTCACTCTTCATCCCCCAAGCCTTTACACACGTTTATTCATCAGCTGCAGTAGAGACACTGAAAAGCATGAAGTATTGCAACACAAGTGAAAAGTACGGGGTAAGGGGTTAGGATATAAAGAAACAGGCATTGCTCAGGAACAGAAGGAATAGTTCTAGGCAGCACTTCCTTCCCCCCAAAAAAATTCCTCCCCAAAACCTGCAACTTCAACTTAAAGCATCCCACAATATGTGTGTACCCTCTATGACACTTTAGCTGAAACAAACTAAACCCAACACTGTCAACTAAAGAGACACATAGAAAAGTCACCCAAACGACCCGAGTTCTAGAGGCTTTGCTATTACGCATCAGCTACTCATCACCAAAAAAACAGGCAGCGAGGGCCGATGTTGCAATCCAGCCGCAGCATTTGTCCACCCTGCCTCTGCAGGTCAGGTCGGTGCACCCTGGACTCCGCAGGAAGGCTCTCATGTGCCGCACTGGATCTCTTTTGCTACATAGAGCACACAACCCCCAGGTTTTGAGCAAACCGAAGGGTCAACCATCTTCACACTCCGAACTGCCGGGGCCCGGGTGCGCGCTTCAGGCACCCCTTGTCTTGTAGCACCTAGAAGGGCCAGACCAGCTTCCCCAAGGCGCCCATGAACGAGCGGCGTCTCCCACCCGCCGGCCAGGATTACAGCCGCCGCCGTCCGCAGCCCAGCGCCTCCCCGGCTGCCCCTCGCTCCTACCGCGGCCCCACGCTCGCCCCGGCCGCTGCGGGGGACCATGGGCCGCCATCCCCCGGGCCCTGCCGCCCGTCCGGGCTGGGGGCGGCGGTGGCGGCGGCGGGCGCTGATAGGGCTTCCCGGCGAGGAGGGGCGGGCGAAGGGAAGCGCGGCCCAATGCGTGGCTCGGCGGCACGGCGTCCGCCTCGCACCCCCGCTACCCTGGCGCGGCCGTGGAGGAATGCGACGGCCGCCCCCCGGCACCCCGGTACCTTTTCCTCCTGCAGAGCAGGCACACGGCCCAGAGGAGCAGAGCGGCCGCAGCCGCTCCGCCATAGGTGCCGAGCTGCAGCGTGTCGGGGCCCATGCCGGCAGCGCTCGCCTCGGCGGCCACCGGTACCTTGCCGCCGCCGGGGAAGAAAGTTTCGCCCGTCCTCCTGCTCCCCGCAGCAGAGGCGCCAGGCCGGCCGCCCCTCCCCGCCCACCCCGAGTCCAGGGGGCTGGGTTTGGCTGCTCGGAGCTGGCCTTGGCGAGCGGGCCCGGTACGACCCGGCCGGCTCCTCCCCGGGGAGCGCCCGGCGCGGGGAGGGTCGCGCCCGTCCGCCCCCGCGGCCTCCCGGCGGCGGAGGGGAAGCCCTGGGCTTCGCTTGCGGGAAAGGCTCCGATGCGGCGGGAAGGTCCCAGAACGGAGACGGGGGAGGGGGGTTGCGGGATCATCCCACCGTCCCGGGAAGCGGCTCCTGCCCTGAGATCCCCTTCAGCCCTCCACGCACCGCGGGAATGGATCGGGGCCCCCACGGACCCGACCGAGAGGCGGTGGCCTGTCCCCAGCGCAAACGGTGCTCGGCTTGGGCAGGTACCGCCTTTGGCTCCTCTTGGTTTTGGGACAAACACCTGATGCGTGTTCATGCTTAAAAACAACTCCCGCCCAGCTTCGTAAAATTTAACCTGAGGTAGGAGAAATGAAGTACAGATAGCAAAGGTTTGGTTTTGAGCTTTTGCTGCGTGAGAAGATGCCAGGTCCAGTCCTTTATTCCACCATGCTAGTCCCCGTGGTGTGTTATAGAGGACAAGAGAGGAGGAAGTGAGAAACTAAAACCAGAGGCAATAGACGGATCCCCAGCTGTAGGAAGAGCGATGGGGTGGAACGGGGCAGAAGTCCAGGGAGTTCAGTGTTGCATGACAGGGCAGGGGGGGGTAACAAAGATGTACTTTACAGCTCTATCGCCTTTTGGTGCGCTCAAAACATTGCTGTGATGGTAGCTATCGTTCAAGGCAAATTCACTCTTGAGAGAGTAATATGCTCCAGTTTCTAGAATTGTGGATTGGTTGGATGCTGACAGAAGTTTGTGTACCTAACTCATTCTCAGCTTCATATATATTACACATTGTTTCTCAATATTTGGTGGTTTATATCTTTTCACCGTGGACAAAAGTTTTGCAACACTCAGTTTTATGAATTGCCCTGTTTTGAGTTTTCTCTGAATTGCAGATACCCAAATGCATCTTAGCGGGTAACATAGCCAGTTAGCTACAAACCTTCCTGACTTCAGCAGATCTCATCATTTTCAGAGGCCTGTCTCACATCTGAGGTTTTGCACTGGGCAGCCCTGTGTGTCTTCTTTCTCAAACGCTCCTGCTGATTTCAGTAAAATGCCATAAGAGCAAATCAGTGTGTCTCACATTAAAGTGTGTCAGGATTTGGTCACTACTGCTTAAAACCATCAGTTGACCTTCTTGAGATGAAAAAAATCAGACACAGTTGTGCAATACAATGCGTGGAGGGAAACTGTAAGAGAAACTAACGTTTTACTTATAGCTCTGTAGGGCTTTTTGTAGGGAAATGTGTTTGAAATCCCCAGCTTGGGAATTCCAGGGGATTTCTTAGCTATTAGTCCTATTAATTCTTAGAAAGGGAGTAATTTAGGACAGAAAAGCATTGCACTGTAAGACATAAACCAGTGTAAAATATTACTCATTTTCCAAGTGACCTCTGCTGTGAAAATCCAGTGTTTCACTTCAGTATAGTGGGAAACAACTGTCCACATACAATTACACATTGGAATAAGCCCTCATCCAGATTCAAAATATCAAGATCACTGTAGTTCTGGCAGAGGATGTGAAGAGGGTTACAACACCACTTTCTAGTTTGCACTTCGCATACTTGTCAAAAGTTATCATCTCAGATCAACTGTAGATGAAAAAAACCAAAACCCAACCTCACACACCAGAAAGCACCACACCATGAGCAAGACACTGTTATTTTAAAAATGCAGGGAACGCAACCCAAAAGGTCCTAAGTACCCTATGAGTGCTGTGTATGTTTCTGTGTCAATCCTTTACAAAGCCCAACAGTACGGATTAATTTCTCCTCAACTAGTAAAGGAATCTCAAAGACTTAGAAGCCCAAACCTGATGAAGTTTGATGTTAGATTATCTATAGTATGAGCTACCTTGATGCAGATCCAGCTGGACAGTATTTGCACATAGCATACACAGTTAAAATTACAATAGACGTATCCGTACATATTGCCATCTCAGCTACCTGGGGAAAGAAGTTGAGGCTGAACAGTCCCCTTTAACACAGCTGTAGCAGAAAAGAGGAAATTTATTTCCTTTTCAGGAGGTGCAAACCTAGTCTTACAGTGATATGGTCTCATGTTGAAAAACGGCTTTTTAAGAATTGGAGGGATCTTCAGTTTCAAGCTGTCCTGAGATCTTTATGGAGGTCTTGCTGAAGCCTGGTCATAAGTGAAGAGAAAGAATGCAAATGCTGTTATGTTTGGAAAATGATAACTTTACTCTCCAGATGGATACAACTACACCCAGTTGTTACCCTTACTGGTGGCATGTAATTGCTGTTGTTTCTGGTGTTGGCTCCTTGGCAGGTTTCTTCAAGTGCAGTTTGTGTGCTTAGAAATCTGATAGAAACAACTGCAGGCTGGAGAGAGGTGAAGGCATTTGCAGATATATATTGGGTCGGGGGAGGGATAGAGAATTCGTAAGATAAGCTTGAAGGGCTTTTCACTTGGAAGCCACCAAGATTTTGGAGAGGTTCCTAATACCATGATAGCCCAGATAGATAGATAGATAGATAGATAGATAGATAGATAGATAGCTGCTCGGTTACATTTCTCCTGTTTAAATTGTGAACATTCTGTACATATGCTACAGTTCAAAATGCATACTGTGTGTATGTTTCATACTGCCAATGTTGTAAGATGATATAGATCATATTTTTTTGTCTTATGAAAATGCAGAAGACTCAAAATAAACTTCGAACAGTATATGCTGCAATCTGTACTGTATGTTACACATCACAGTGTGATTTTGCTATATGCAGCACATGGACAAATGCCTGTTCTACTGGGTAGATTTCATGTGCGCAAGGATTTAAACTCCCAGGCTTAGACAGGAGCAGATTCTGCGTCACTGAAACACCAGTGACATATGTGTTACAAGCAATGGCAGGAGCAAAGCTTGTTTTTCCACTTGCCCAGCACAACTCATGTAAGGCTATTTTCAACAGCTTGTAGCTTTACTCTGCTGTAACCATTGCAGTTGCAAAACTGCAAGTCAGTTCTTGCCTTCAGTTTAAATGCATGTGAAATATTTCAATCAAAACAATTTATGTATTTTTGTGAACAATGCTAAGGAAAAATACCTGTGGTAACATTTTTAGTGATTTTGAGAAATGGCAGTGGCATCAGACTTTGAAATGGGGTCAACAAATTAAGCTCTGTGTCAAAGATAATCTGTCCAAATTTATTTAGGTTAAAAGCCCCACAAGAAGAGAGGTTTTGTATACTCTTGTGACCTGCTGGAACTTTGGGGCTTAGTTCCTTGAAGATGCCACTGGAACTGGGTCTGCTTCCAGCTCTTAGCTCAGCAGCTGTTTTCTCTGAAAGTGAAGCTCTGAGCTAATAGCGATCGGGCTGAATTCAGGGCAACAGTACTAAAAGCCTTTTTGTTCACTGCTCTCTGTCTCTCTTCCTGCTAGGATACACGCAAAGGGAAGTGCAGTGATTTAAGTGTAGTACAAAAAGGCTACAGACCTCTCATCTCACTCACTAGATTTAAGACTAATACATTTGATTCTCACTTTGTGTCCTCTCGTTCAAGAATGGCTCAATCTGCATTTCATGCTTTTGTAATGCAGCACTGTAGCCTCTCTCCCGTGACCTCCTGTGTCAGTCATAGCGGATCTGCCTGAGCTCTGAAAAAGCCCCCGTGCTGAAAGAAGCGAGAAGTCCCATTCCTCTGCCCCTGCACTTCAAATGTCGTAGTCTCACTTCCCACTGTCATGTGGACTGACATGCCAAAGACATACCTGTTATGTGCACCAACACATGGATTCGTATCATGTCAGGGATAAAAAAAGAAGCTGAGTGGTCTACTGGGCAGAAGCAGTGGCTGGTAGAGGTGGAGGACTGATTACGCAAAAAGATCATGAATGGGAGCCAGGGAGGGAAGTAAAAAAGACGATTAGGAATAGATGAGTAAAAACTGGGGTTGAATGAGCAAGATGAAATTTGGAAACCAAATGAAGTGAGAGAAGGAGTGTAATAATAGGAAAGATTTTGAGGAGGAGTGTGACAGAACTGACATTGCCTCAGAGTAGAGATGAAGGTGTGGAATTTGTGTATGACTTAAAGGTGAAATCAAAGAAGAGAGGTGGAACTGAAAATGTGTGGAAATGACAGTATGGGAGAGGAGTAGCCAAGAGAACTGAGGTCGAAACAGTGAGATGACTCCTACAGTTTGCAGGGGTCTCAATAGGAGGGAAGATTTGGGTCAAAAACTGACACTGGGAAAGCATAAAAGTGATGGGCAAGAGGATCAGGAGAAGAAGGTACCAACAGATGAAGCTACATCTTCTTGGCTGTAGTTTTACTTTGTGTAAGATGGTACAACTGCAAAGAGTCTCAAAAGACATGGTGACATTTCTCCTTACTGCCATCTGTGCCACAAGTCATGTGATCCTGTCATTTCCCTTCTGTTATATCTAACAATCATGTGGTCACAGTTAGAACTACTTACTTCCTAATCTGGCAGAAGACTCAGTCACTAAAGGAGAAGAAGGAATAGCATGCCAACAGATATGCCATTGATTCAACTCACCCCACAGCCATGCAGTGAAATGGCCTGGCAGTCTAAGATGTGGACTGTGGGAAAATAAGACTCCTATTCTGGGAGTTAAAGGAAAAAGAGCTGTGCTACAGCATGAAGTTTTTCAGCCCTGGTGATGCTTGGGACATGCGAGTGTGATGTCATCTGGGAGAATTTTCACATTTTCATTCTGACTTTTTAACGAGAAAATGTTAATATATACACATATCTAAAAGGGTGTGGTTAAGGAATGATTTTACAGATAAATCTAAAGTAGGTAGAAAAAGAGGGTGGAGGTTTCCTGCTTCTTTCTTGTTGTAGCTGGAAACTTGGTAAGGCAAGGGAGTGACTGCAAGAGCAGTGGCTGTTCTGGATAACCAAAGATTCTCCTTGAAAGTTCATTCCACCCTTGTCTGTGGTAAGTTGTATACCATCATACCGCTCATAGGC